ATTCCAAAAAGTCATATTGTAGTTCCAGAAAGTTTATTTTGACAATATCTTATTTTTGTTTAATTTTTGATATTATACATGTTTAATTCCTTGTTAATGTTTAATTTATTTACCATATTGTTGAATGCAAAAATAATGTTTAGTAGCTAAATTTGTTTTGGGAATGAATTGAGTAAAGGAATATGGATTTACTTGTTAGCCAAAAATTAGGGGTCAAAATTAATTAATTGAGCTAGTTATTCAATTTGATGAATTAGTAATTAATAATTATTAGTCAATTTCATTAATTAAATTTTGGAAAATTATTTCTAACTTGTCTATGAGATTAGAAAGTAATTTGAGCCAACTTTATTCAAGCACATTAATAAGGCCTAGAAATAGGATAATTTTAATGAAATGGATTTACATCTTGTCTATGAGAAATAAATTCAAATTGCTTAAATAATGAATTTAATTAGTTAATGAATTTGGCTATTTTTTTAATTAAAATTTTGGAGAATTATTTCTGCCTTGTCTATGAGATTAGAATTTAATTCAAGCCAACCATTTTTGAATACATTAATGAAACCTAGAAATAGGATAAATTAATGAAAGTAATTTCTATTCTTGTCTATGAGAAAAGAAATTATTAGTCCAATTGTTGTTTTAATTCCCCTAATTACTAGGTCCAAGAATATATCCATTTCTAATTATTCAATTCATTGCCCTTCTTTGATCAATCCATTTAGAGTTTAATATTTTTCATTTAGTTTAATTTTGAGCCATCATTAGTATTTGCATAATTTAATTACTTTATTTTTCAAAAACTAGTTTAGAAAATCAATCAAAAGTTTTAATTTGGAAAGCTTCCAATAATTTGCGATAACCTGTGACTGAGCTTAAAATCAAGAAACTCCTCCGCCATTCCTCAAGAGACACGATACTCGGGGAAAAACCGAAAGGTTAGACTCCGTTTTACTACAACGCCGCGAAAGCGGTTATCACCCGACCAAGAGCTGTGTAGCCATGTACTCCCCCCGAGTGGCTCTGGTCTTCACATCTAAGGCAGCAGTGTTCAGGTAGGAATAGCCTTCGGGAATTCCTACTGGCTGCCCAGCGTCGATGACAACTTGTTTTTTCCTCGCGGCAGCCTTCGCCTTTTTCTTCTTCCCGGGGGCCACGCTTATAGGCGTCGGGTCGAGGGGACGAGAGCTTCCAGCTTCATTGTTGAGCTGAGAAGGGAGGATGGCGATGCTAACCTTTCACCTCTCTTTCTCTTCCTCTTCTTCCGCCGTTTGGAGAGCGAGGGCAAGCTTCTCATCGTCGTTGACTTGTTTAAAATCTTCGGCTTCGGCCTCGGCCACCAAGTCCTTCTGCACCTCCATTGCAATGGCGGAATCACCACTCACCGAGGGTTGCTCTCTAATAGACTCCACAACCGTGATGCTCTCTTCCTCAACAGAGGGCTCCCTCGAGATGTCTTGGGAATCACTTCGCGAAGACATCTGTAAAGGCTAGAGGTCGAAGGGTTCGAAGAGAGAAGATTTCCTAAGGAGCTCTAACACTTAATCTAAGGTCGAGGAAGTAAAGTACACAAAAAGTACGAAGAGCGGAGCAAGAACTGACCTCTGAAAGCTCGATTTGATCGAAGGCAGGAGTTTTTCTCTTAAGAAAATCCGGCAGAGTTTCGCTACGATAAAAAATGCGTAAGAAGTATGGACCAGGCAAGGGGTATTTATAGCCTCCAATATCCGGGCTTGGGCCGGAATCTGGGCCCCCTGTCCCCGGAATCATCATTACTAACCGTCGGTTTGACCAACCGGTGACTCCCGCCCGCCGGAAGCCAACGAGCACACACCACATGGACTCCACCTCCAACGGTCTTATTACAACGGCTATATTTTGAAAACACAGAGGTGCTCCTGGCCGACACCCCGCATACAACATCACAAATGCCTTCGGGCTTTCTCATTCAGAATCCTTCATCAAAGATGAGCCCGCAACTTAACAACGGGAAGTCCCCTCGGGACCCCTCAACCCTCAACATGTTGGGAATCAGGAGCCCCCCCCCCCCCCCCCCGGGGCCATACCTTCAAACCCCCTCATCAGTGGTTAGCCCCCAGCTAAAACACCAGGGCACCCCTCAGCCACCGGAACAATCACCGGCATTCATCAACAACGATCAAGCCCTCAGCCTCATCGACTGGGAACTGCCCTCCCAGCAGACCCTCCGGGATATCAACAAAACCCCTCCGGCAACCCCACAAACACGCCCTCAGATGAAGGGTAGCATTCGGCATCAACTTTGTCCTTCATCTCAGACCAAGGTTTCACCTTTTCGATTCATCATTGGGGGAATTCGGTGCACTCTTTTTCCCTCATTAGGATTTCTTCCCACAAGGTTTTTTCTAATGAGGTTTTTAATGAGGCATCCCCCAAAAATGAAACGAAAAATGGCAACCTTCGTCCCCATACAACAGCAGGCGCCACTCTACTCCTTTTCACCACTTTACAAGTGCCTCAAGGAGTGGGGGACTGGAAGACCCCTTCGGGAAAATCTCAAAAAACAAATTATCAAAAATCTCCCCAAAAGCAGCAACACCCTTCAAATCCCAGGATGTGGGGGACTAAGGGACTGCCATCGACAAAAACGTGCAAACAACAACTCCTCACAAACTCCACAAATGACAAAGCAAAACGCCAGCATCAGAGGACAAGCGCATTTTACTCATTTTCCCTCAAGTACCTTTCAGAAAAAGGAGTGAGGGACTCCTGATGGAGTATATGGTCCAGGGACCCCCGACCCATAGACTCCCATTACCATAACAAAGGCCCAATAAGCCCAGGAAGCACAACATGCCCAAATCACAGGACCCCAAGTACCAAATAGCCCATGACGTACACTTGGGGTGCCTTCGGCCCCCATGGCCGAAGGCTCATAAACTTACAGTACAACTGCTTTTGAGCACTCGAAATTACTGGGAGGAAACGGCGAAAATAGTAACCCTCGGCACCTAGAGCCCTCGGCACCTAAAGGCCCCCGGGATGAAGAGCCTTCGGCTAATCATCTACAGTCGAAGACATCTCCTCGACAAGATCTCCCACCCACATGTGTTGGATCACCGTACCGGGTACAGACGTCACGTCCAATCACCACATTTAATGCGGCCACATGCGAGTGCCGGTGTCGCCCTAGTTGAGGTGACCCCTCGACCACCAGAATGCTGACACGTGTCCTTATCCAGCATTTATTGCTGCTATAAATAGCACCTCTTTCCCCATTTGTAATCCACACTGAGTTCACTTAATACATTTGACTCTCTCTCTTACTTCTTTGCTCCAACTTCTCTCTAGTTACTCTCCGCAGTAACCCCGCGGATAGATACCCCCAGGTACACTTATCCATCAATAATAATAATAATAATAATAATAATAATAATAATAGTAGTAGTAGTAGTAGCAGTAGCAGCAGCAGTAGTAGTAGTAGTAGTAGCAGTAGCAGCAGCAGTAGTAGTAGTAGTAATGATAATATTAATAATGAGGCATTATATTTTGCTTAAATTTTTGTGACATTAATTTTATTAAAAATTTTTATTATGACTTATTAGCAATATTTAACATAAAAAGCGACCTTTAATGTAAAATTGTCATTATTTTGTAAAATAATCAATTTTAATTCTTTCATTTTAAATAAAATGATAAATACTATGAGATCACAAATTCAATATCCATTAAGATTAAATTTTCATCTATGAGTTTTGCTCTCAATTTTTTTGAAACTATTTTGTTAAAAACTAAACAGTGACACATTTACATTTATCGTCGTCAAATGGTAGCATCAATGACGAAATAGTATTGTCATTATTTTACAAAATAATTAATGACAAAATATGAGTTTGTCATAATAATTAGAAATTATGTGACACATATTATTGTCATTAAATGTTCAAAAAATGTCATAAAAAAATTTCCCTCCGAATTTTTGGCATCAAATTTTGGCGCTCAAACTTCAAGTGACAAATTACAACTTTTTGTCATATTAAACATTAATTAATGACAAAATATAAGAATTAAAGTGACAAACAATAACATTGTCATAATAAATCACTTTATTGTGACGACTTTGAGTTTTGTAACTATTACTCAATATAATATGACAATTTTTTGTGCGTCATACAATTTTTTGTCATAAAATGTAAGATTTCTTGTAGTACTTTATTCAGTATTACCAAACAGTCTTGAATACAGAATTTTTTGAGAAAAAAATGAAGCAACTTCTAATTTTTCCTAATGACTCCATAGAAATAATTTGCTATATATCTCACTGCATCCTAATAGTGTATCTGCTAAAATTATGTCTGAAAATGTCTTGTACACTTGTACAATATTATTGAAAAGAGGAGTATTTGTTAGAATTTAAAAGTTAAAGCATAGGTTGATTAAGTATTTTAATATGCTTTTATAATATCTCCATTCTTCTACGTCTCTATATTTGAGGGGAAAAAGATACTTGGTAATATAGTTTGTGAATTTCATCCATGTTTTACTATAATTTCCCTATAATTTCTTTTGACAGAAGCACAAACCAACAAAAAAAGATTTCTTTTGTTTCGTTCAAGAAAGGTGAAAAATAATACTCTTTTCTTTTCAAAGAAGAATGCAACGTCTTGCAAGAAGAGGTTTTGGATTATCTTAACATAAAAACACTACATGGCTTTTGATCGACTCCAAGAAAAGACAATAATGTCATGCATAGATTCTCAAATAGTTGGATCCCAAGATAAGAGATCTTCAATGGTACAATGTGCACGGTGCACATGTGACAGGAGAGATAGATACAAAAGATTAAATTAATGACATTTCTCTCTCCTTCTTTCCACGGCCTTATGTGTTTTTGATAAAAAATTTCTCAACAATGTCAACCACAATGTCTACATCTATACATTGTGCTCGACATTGTAGAGAAAAACTTACAAAAAACATATAAGATCGTTCAAATAAGGAGAGATATTATATTCGTTGTTTTTAATTGGCTATCTCTGCCACGTATGCACCATTCATGTTTTTGCATTAGAGATGCTCTAAGCCTCTTCCAATCCCCTTCTTCATCGATCCTATAAATAACGGATATTGCAAATGTGTTTGATGATCATATAGGAAACATACAAGAAAGAACAAACATCTGTTCGATCATTAAACTTTTGTAATGGTGATAATCGGTGGTGTGAATTATGAACGTATCAGTGTTGCTCGCACATTGATTAATAATCCAGATGATGTTTCTATCAAGCTGCATAATCTAATTGGTATTTGTTCATCATTAACTCATTCACGTTTTTTCTTAAAAAAAATTATATTTTCATCCGACATACAATATGCGTGCATATATATATATATTCACAACACACACATATACGCAATAATTAAGGCCATATGTAAGGTATGCTATAAAATAAATTGTAAATTCAAAGTAAAAAATACTACGGTGGTAAAAAATAGTTGTCCTCAATTTAAATTTCTCTGAAACCTGTGAAAGTTATGGCGTTCTCAAACATTCGGTGGATTTTTATTATTAGTTATTTAGATGAATTTTAATTGATTTTGGTGGATATATGCATAAAAAATATTTGACCACAAATCTTGTGGTCAACTATCAGATTTCAAAATCTATAATCTTTTACAATCCATCAAAATCATAGCTGGGGACACCCCTTAAAAGTATTTTTTCTTAAATACCAATGCTTATACCGTAGAACCGGTGCATGGTGAGCACCATGCACCCTTTGTTATTTTTTATTTCTCCTTTTCTTAAAATTGTTAATAATTTTTTTTTATATTTGATCCGATTTTTATAAAATTTATATCAATTTTTTTTCATGATCTTTCAAATGAGACCAATATTGCCTATGTAATTTTAATTTTTTACATTCATACATTTTTTGTAATATATTTTTATATGCATACACTTTTACTATAATATATTTTTTTGTCACTTTTATATATGTTTTTAGAGGTTTTTAAGATATTGAGTTTGTTTATTTTGCTTCTAGCTTGGAGTTACATTTGATAATATACGAAGTTACATCATCTTATACTCCAGTTACAAGTTATTATGTGTGAGTTACATCTTATTATGTGTGAGTTACATCTTGCTATACACGAGTTACATACTTTTATGCGCGAGTTACATTTAATTATGTGTGAGTTACATCTTGTTATGTGTGAATTACATCTTGTTATACACGAGTTACATACTTTTATGCGCGAGTTACATGTAATTATGTGTGAGTTATATCTAATTATTTGTGATTTTTTACTTATCTTTATCTTGAACTAATTCAATTATAACTGAATTAATTTTTTTCTTTGCCAATTTAATACAAAATTTTATTAATCCACATAATATAAGTATATTGTATTTCATATTCATACACTATTTTTCAAATGATAAAAATGAAAGATGTAGCAGGGGTTTATTTCATGGTGTAACTCACATACATTAAGATGTAACTCGCGTATATTAAGATGTAACTCGCGTACAATAAGATGTAACTCGCACAGAAGAAGATGTAACTTCATGATATATTATCAAATGTAACTTCAAATTAAAATAATTTGTTAAAATTACATAAGCAATATTGGTCTCATTTGGTAGATCATGAAAAATAAAAAAATTTGATATAAAATTTATAAAAATCGGATATCAAATAAAAAATTTATTACAATTTTTAACAATAAAAGAAATAAAAAATAATGGATGCTGCGTCGTCGCAATTTATACACTGGGATCGGCGCATCATGAGGATGGTGCGCCTGATCCCAAAACGACGCAGCATTCATTATTTTTTTTTCTTTTATTGTTAAAAATTGTAATAACTTTTTTATTTGATATTCGATTTTTATAAATTTTATATCAAATTTTTTTATTTTTCATGATCTATCAAATGAGACCAATATTGCTTATGTAATTTTAATAAATTATTTTGAAGTTACATTTGATAATATATCATGAAGTTACATCTTCTTCTGCGCGAGTTACATCTTATTGTACGCAAGTTACATCTTAATATACACGAGTTACATCTTAATGTATGTGAGTTACACAATGAAATAAACCCCTGCTACATCTTTCATTTTTAGCATTTGAAAAGTAGTGTATGAATATGAAATACAATATACTTATTTTATGTGGATTAATAAAATTTTGTATTAAATTGGCAAAGAAAAAAAGTATGTAACTCGTGTATAGCAAGATGTAACTCACACATAACAAGATGTAACTCACACATAATAACTTGTAACTGGAGTATAAGATGATGTAACTTCGTATATTATCAAATGTAACTCCAAGCTAGAAGCAAAATAAACAAACTCAATATCTTAAAAACCTCTAAAACATATAAAAGTGATAGAAAAATATATTATAGAAAAAGTGTATGCATATAAAAATATATATTACAAAAAAATGTATGAATGTAAAAAATTAAAATTACTTAGGCAATATTGGTCTCATTTGAAAGATCATGAAAAATCAAAAATTTTGGTATAAATTTTATAAAAACCGGATCAAAAATAAAAAAATTATTAATAATTTTAAGAAAATGAGAAATAAATAATAACAAAGGGTGCATGGTGCTCACCATGCACCGGTAACACGGTATAAGCACTGCTTCGTCGTTTTGGGATGAGGCGCACCATCCTCATGGTGCGGCCGATCCCAGGATATAAATCGTGCTTAAATACAACTTTCTTCGATATAAAGGAATCATCTTCGTGTTGTACTATATTGTTTTCAATTTAATTTTCAAAGCATTTCAATCAGTTCATATACCGTGGGAGCAGCCCACGGTGAGCATGGTGCTCCCACAGAAAAAAAAGCATGTTACTGTTCACGCGCGTGAACAGTAACTTCATTTTTGTTTTTTCATTGTCCCAGTAGCGGAATAGGTGTAACTCGCGTGTAACAAAATGTAACTCACACTAATAAGAAATGTAACAACAAGCAAGTTGAAATGTAACTTGTTTAATACGAATTATAAGAAATAAAACATTGATTTTAATGAAAACAAGGAGTCTAATTGCTCAATTACTTTATTTAAATAGTTTATATGTTTTGTTTTTAATATTAAGGACATAATTTTTTTTTTTGCCAAATTTCATTTTTTGGCCAAAAACTCATTTTGATTTTGTAAAAAAAAATGATTTTTTTTTATTTAATAGCAAGGGTTATCATAAATGATGAATATATATTTTTTTAATATTAAGTCCATAAAATTATTTTTAAAATATATTTTTTGCCAAAACACATATTTTTTTTTGGAAACATTTATTGTTTTTTGCATAACAATGATTCTTTTGTTTCAATAGTAGGCTTTATGTTGTAATGTAATTCGTATTACAGAAAATGTAACTCGCGTTGATTGAAAATCTAACTTTAGTGTATGCAAAATGTATCTTGTTAAGGAAAACTCAAATGTAACTCGCGTATAAAAAGATGTAACTCACACACAAGAAGATGTAAATCGTGCATAAGAAGATGTAACTCCATAAAATATCAAATATAATCATAGAAATTGTCTATAAATATAACTCACACATACGAAAAATGTATTATTCTCATGTTTTTTCAAATTTAAATCGAAATAAACAGCCTTAATGTCTATAAAACATATAAAAGAGATAAGAAATATATTATAGAAAAAAGTACATGAATATAAAAAATATTTTACAAAAAAAGTGTATAATAAATATTAAAAAAGTATACAAAGTAAGAAATAGTGTATGAATATGACATACAATATACTTATTTTATGTGAATAAATAAAATTTTGTATTAAATTGGTAAAGAAAAAAATTAATTCAGTTAGAATTTAATTAGTTCAAGATAAAGATAAGTAAAATATCACAAATAATTAGATGTAACTCGCGCATAAAAGTATGTAACTTGCGCATAAGAAGATGTAACTAACGCATAACAAGATGCAACTCACGCATAATAACATGTAACTCGAGTATAAGATGATGTAACTTCGTATATTATCAAATGTAACCCAAGCTAGAATCAAAATAAACAAACTCAAAAAAAAATATTGAGTGTATGCATGTAAAAATATATTACAAAAAATATATGAATATAAAAAGATATTACAAAAAATAGTGTATGAATATGAAATACAATGTACTTATCTTATTTAGATCATTAAACTTTTTGTTATGTATTGATAAAGAATAAAAAAATAGATTCAATTATAATTTAAATTGAAGATAAGAAAAATTAAAACTGCAATTAAATTTTTAACATTTTAATTTGATGGAAATGGAGAAGAATTGAAAAAAAGAAAAATAAAATAAGAATAGGAAAAAAAGGGAAGGAAGAAGCTCCAGGGAGAAAAGAAAACAACGTAACTTGCTAAAAGTGGGATCGGCACACCATGCGGAAGGTGAGCCGATCCCACGGTAATTAATGTAGTACTTAGTTACTTGCAATTAATAAATAATTTATCTGAACGAAATTGCAATTAAGGGATGAATCAATTTCAATTAAAAGGTTATTCTTTAATAATACGGAGTAATGTGTAAAAACGATTCCCACTTTATAAATTAAAACCCATGTGATTTTTAATATTCTATTTACTCTTTTAAAATATACTCCGTAATAATGAAATTAATTCATTCTTGTCATCAAAACCAATTTAATATTATTGAAAAAAATGCACTATGCATAAAATTAATATGTACAAGTGTAAGGCGACGTTTCAAATAAAATTCAAACATTGGAATTATATTAATTAGATTTGATTCTCCAATATTATGGATTCACGAGCTTGAGTTCTAGTTACCTAATAATAATGGTAATGTTGAGTTACGCTTAGTAGTAAAATAAGCCCAAAATTCAACAATAGGAGTACAATCCTTTTATTCCCAAAATAGAACTAATATATTTTTCTTCTTCCCATTCTACCCCTTCCTATAATTTCCAATAAATTTATTTTATTAATAAGAAAATCAGAGTTTTATTTTATAATAAAAATATAAAAAATAATAAAATATTTATTAAATAATAATGAAAACGTGAAAAATTAAAATAAAAATAAAAAATTAAAAATAATAAATAAATTATTTAAAATTTATTTAAAAAGTCCAAAAAATAAAATAAAATACCTAAATAATATTTAAAAAATATGTAGGTCACTGCCAACGCGTCCTCTACCTCCCAGCACCACCGACTCCGGTCACCGGAAAAAAATGCCATTTTATGTAAAAAATGCCACATTTCTCTGAAAATGTCATAAAGATGACATTTTTACTCTTTGAAAATATTCAACTTTCTCTTGCTTTCTCTTCAAAATTGCCATCATGATGACATTTTTTACCCAACTTGGCAATCTTTTCCGGCGACCGGAGGTGGCGGTGCTGGAAGGTGGCTGAGGTGGTGGTTGAGGTCTATATATATTTTAATTATTTTTTACGATTTTTATTTTTTTATTTTGATTTTTTTATATTTTAGAATGATTGTTTCAAAATCCCATTATCAAGGACAAAGGAAAGGGTAGAATAGAAAGAGTTAGTCCTATTTTGGGAATTTAAACTTTAAACTCCTATTGTTGCAATTGTCCCTTTATTTACTCCTATTTAGGCAAATCTCCCTTTGAGTTATTATTAAGTAAATGGAAAATTCTCGAAATAGGATTTAAAACATTTTACAATTTCAAAATATGAGCACTGTGCTTTTATTTTTCAAATATGAGTAATTACTGCCATCAACTAGGTAGTATGTATTTTACTATTGTCTAAATTTTGTTTTTATTTGATCTGATCTGATCAGATCAAATCTACTGCATCTGTCCCAAATTGCTTTGCAAAGACAACATTTTTTGTCAACCAATAATAAAGTTAAATCCTCCTTATTGATAAATAAATCATTTTTAGTAATCAAAATTTACATATTCAGAAACTACATTTAAATTTCTATCAAACTGCAAAATTCAAATTAAACTTTAATTAAGAATTGATATTTTAATTGGTTAATTAAGTGAATAAAATAAAATTGTTATACCCCAAACTTTTAAGGGGTGTGAGATAACACCTTAAGCTTTCATATGTAATTTAAATACCCGAAAATTTATATAAAAAGTTATTTTAGCACCATGGTCATATATTATTTCTTTCAAAAATGTAAATTTATGGTGTTAATTGCATAACTTAAAATTGAAAATTAAAAAGCTGCAATTATAGAGTGGGGTAGTATTATTTAATTTACAATGGAAATTTAGAATGTTAATTGTATGTTCATGAATGCTAAAATATTTTAAATTATGAAATTAACACAAAATATTAACCATTTTGAAATTAAAATTTTTATATAAGGTTTTGGGTATTTATCTCAGACCCTTCAAAGTTTGGGATATAACTTGATTTGATATGAGAGTCTAACCGGTTCAATTAAGATCATGCCAAATCCTCTTATTCATGGGTATTGTAGGATTTAAAGGAGAGGAGATTGAAATTGTATGGTCAAATAGTCACGTATGGATAATGGGATATACTGAAAGCAACCGGGCCTGGTTTTCGGATCGTATATCCCTGAAGCGCCGAATTTTGGGCATGGGCGTCGAGGAAATAAAGCTTGACGATAAAAAAGGTACCCTTTACGTGAAGTTATCAAAACAAGCGACTCGCAAAATTGATCCGACAAGAACCGTATTGGTTCAAGAACTACTAGACCAGCAAAGCCCATCATCATTACCCAACCATACAAAGTACGGCGGCAGCGGCGCAACACAAAAGCGCATAAATGCCCTCACATATGGTGTAAACGCGGCAGAGTTTGAATGGCCGGAAGATGACGAAATATCACCGTCATGGCTGGTTGTTGAGAAGCTGAAAATGGGCTTGAAGATTATTCTAGTCGTTATTGTGAGTCTTGGGTTATTTAGACTCTTTGAAATACAAAAAAGCATCAATCAGTAATTTAAACAAATCCTCACTTGTTTATATTGCAAGCATATAGTTAAAGAAATTAAGTACTCCGTATTACATTACGTTTAGTTTTTGGTTTTTATCCTCTAAAATGTGAGTAATCGTAAATACGAACTACTACCTCCATTCCACTAATATTGACACATGAGAAAATAGTGCTAGTTAAAAATGATTTATCACACAAAACTTAATCAAACTTGGTATGCGATAATCTTAATGGAACGATAAAAAAGGATGAATGAGACAATCTTAGTAAGATAGATGTGTAGTTAAATTGTGTGCAAACAAGTCTGCAATAAAAGGCAACCACAAAAATCGTGTAGATGAGACCTTTGTTAAAGTTTGAAAAGAGAATTAATTAAATTATTGTGTAAAATGTAGCATATGCAAAATGTTGCAAAAAGAGGGTGTAACTAATTATAAAATCACTACCACAAAGTATAACTTTTGTAGCATATGCAAAATGTTGCAATAAGTGTAAAAAATGTCGATCACAGTATATCAAATGTAGCATTTTTAGTGTGCTGCACCCAAGTGGTGTTACAATAGATGTATTGTAACAATTTATGAATTCCCAATTTATTGTAGCATTTTTAGTACAATAATGCTACAATAGATATTATATTGTAGCAACTTCTATGGTGCTACAAAATGGATGCTACAATAGACACTTTTTGTACTAGTGAATAAAATGGTAAGATAGGTAAAATTATTGTCTTAATGTCGAAATAAAAGCTTAGATTTTACCCGTGCATTAGAGTGGATATCTAGCAAACTAATTCAGAAGTAGGGATGTTTTCACTTGGACTGTTTTCAGTCTCATATCAGACCAGTGCAGACCAGCCCAGATCAGACCATATCAGACCATATAAGACCAGATCAGACTTGGATATAATTATAAAATACACGGAGACCAGACATTTACCAGACCAGACCAGATCAGTTCAGACCAGACCAGACCAGACAAGACCACACCAGAAATTTCAATCCAAGTAAAAACATCCTAAATTCAAATTATTATCATAATACAACATGATTATAAATAATTAATAAAAGATGATAAACCATATAAAATATTAAAATATATTTACAATACTTTTAATCTTATAAAAACAGTTTTGCTCGATTTTTTAACGTATATATACCATTTTTAGTGTAGGAGCTTAAATGGTGGATCAAAATTTGCACAAGAGTCTATTTATTTGTACCTTTTAAATATAAAGAGTTTTTTTCTAAAATATTAATAATAAAAAAGTCATTGACAAAAAAGTGATTTAATAACTTTTAGTGATTATGATTGTTGAGTTTAAGTCCAACACAAACTAATAGATATAGCTATAATTTGGTATAACACTCGATATTTACGTGGAAACCCGAAAGGGAGAAAACCACAGTTCTTTTTAGGCTAACGTTCAAGCCCACTCTTTCTCATTATTACCCTCCTCACCATATACGTAGTGCAAATATCTTGGGATTCCATTAATGGAGCTTTGTTGCTAATCTCTAAAAAGAAGCACGGAAGAAGATGAAGCCTAACTTTTCGGAGGGAAGGGCAAAAAATATGATCCTTTAAGTGGAAGCCTAGCTTCCTATTTATAGAAGGGGGTGGGGCTTTCTAGCCTAATGGGCCGGACAGGCCTTAACGGGCCGAGATGGGCCGGGCAGGCCGAGTGGGTCTAAATGGCTCTCAACGGGCCCGAGGGGCCTAAATGGGACTCGCCAACTGGGCTCCATATCGGGGTGAGGCCTTGGGCCTCTAAACAGTAGTAGGTCGGGGTAATATACCCCAACACAAGTCCCCCAATTTCTTGAGTAGTGAGCCTGTGAATATACTCGAGAAAGTATACCATTGCTCACGTCCCTCCTTGCCTCCCCTGAATTGGCATCTTCGAATAGTCTTGGACGCAAGGCATGCATAAGTGATAGGTGAGGTGCAGTCCCCGTACTAGGCACGACGGCGCTGAAGAGCCAGCGGCTCGTGCTGCATAAAGCGGCGATCCAGACCTTGAACGACATGGGCAGACCCGACCGACAAGAAGAAGGCACGACGGCGCTGAAGAGCCGGCCGCTCGTGCTACATAAGGTGGTTGTCTCGACCCTGAATGCCATGGGCGGGCCCGACCGAGAAAAAGACATGATGGTGCTGAAGAGCCAACTGTTCGTGCTGAGAAAGCAGCAGTCAGTGGTGAGTCCAGCTCCAAGCCAGATTCCTCCAAAGTCGATTTATCTTAGTCTTTCCATTGTGTTTAGCATTTTTCATCCCTTGTATCTTCCGGACGGTAGCTCCGAAGAATAAAATGATTTCACTCTTCTGTGTAAGTTTTTCTTTACTTGTCTTATGCTTTCCTGATTCTTTTCATCTGTTTATACAATTTCGTATTGATCGGTTCGTACCTGTCTTCCAAACCATAGTTTCGTTACCCCCGTTCGGCACTTTTTTCCGATACGGTTCGTCCACGCTCCTAGTTTAACATCATCTTCAAACTGGTTTGAAACCCTCGTTCGGTCATCTGGAACGCAAGGTCAAACCTAGCTAAAATGATGGCTCTCCTCCAGACCGCAGTCGAGGTGAGGCTTTCAACCATAGCTTCGATCTCCCGTTCGATCCGCCTGGGTTTGACCCGACGTCCGCTCGATTCCTCCATGCTCCTGGTTTAACATCATCTTCAAACTGGTTTGAAACCCTCGTTTGGTCATCCCGAATGCAAGGTCAAACCTAGCTAAAATGATGGCTCTCCTCCAGACCGCAGTCGAGGTGAGGCTTTCAACCATAGCTTCGATCCCCCGTTCGATCCGCCTGGGTTTGACCCGACGTCCGCTCGGTTCCTCCATGCTCCTGGTTTAACATCATCTTCAAACTGGTTTGACCCGATGTCTGAAAATGTCTTGTACTGTTGTACAATATTGAAAAGAGGAGTATTTGTTAGAATTTAAAAGTTAAGCATATGTTTGATTAAATATTTTAATATGCTTTTACAATATCTCCATTCTTCTACGTCTCTATATTTGAGATAAAAAAGATACTTCGTATAGTTCTCGTGCGCAGCTTTCTCCGATCCACCGCAAGCAGCCCTTCCGCCATCGCCTATTTCTCATTTCTTCTCTTCCTCTTTGTTTGCGGCTGCTTTCCCTACCCCGCGACGTAGATCCAGGCGTCTTCATTGCCAACCTTCCTCTTCTCTTACAACTGAAATCGACCAGCGACGAAGCTCAAGACGTCGTCATGATGGCCGCTGCCACTGGTTCAACCATCCCTGATGGATGCCACCGCTGAATTAGTTTTCATCGGTGGTCGTATCTACTAATTCGGTCCTCGATGGCCACATCCGCTGCTGGATCTCCGGTCCTTGATGGATCTGCGGTTACACGCCGCTGAAGGCATCGGTAGGGTTACCGGTGTGGCAGCGATAGAGGCCTTGGGATGGGATTTGGGCCAGGGGAAGGTAGGGAGGGGGCTAGGGGCTATGGAGGGGGTTTGAGGGTTGGGGAGGAGTTGCCAGTGCCAGGTGGGCAAGATGGCGGCGGATGAAAAGTGGGGGCGAAGGACGGAGTTGGACAGACATCACTGTGACCGACAGTAACTGTGGCCGGTGGGCGGTAGTCACTGTGGCCAATTAGGGGGAGTCACTGTGGCCGCTTGGCGGCGGTCACTGTGATCGGAGTCATTGTGGTCGGAGTCAATGTGGGCGGTGGACAGACAATCATTGTGGCCGGTAGGCGGTAGTCACTGTGGCCGGTAGGCGGTAGTCACTGTGGCCGGAGTCATTTTGTCATTGGAGGGTATATTTGTGAAATTGATCAATTTTTGGAATTATAAAAAAGATGTCACATTTTTGTCTTTTATCCTCATTTTTGTAATATTGAGGACAAAGGCCAAATAATAAACTCTTTTCTTTTCAAAGAAGAATGCAACGCCTTGCAAGAAGTGGTTTTGGATTATCTTAACGTAAAAACACTACATGGCTTTTGATCGACTCAAAGATAAGACAATCCCCTTCTTCATCGATCCTATAAATAACGGATATTCCAAATGTGTTTAATGATCATATAGTAAAGAACAACCATCTGTTCGATCATCATTCAACTGTTGTAATTTAACTGTTGTAATGGTGAAATTCGATGGCGTGGAATATAAACGAATCCATGTTGCCCCATCTTTGGAATATGGTCCAAACGATGTTTCTTTCACGCTCTATAATCTAATTGGTATTTGATCATCTTTAACTCATTCACGTTTTTTCTTAAAAGAAATGATCTTTTCATCCAACATACCATATGTATTTATATCATACATGTGTGTACATAGGGCAATAAACTCTGCAGTTTAATTTGTTCAGTAAGTATATTGTTCATAATTTTTCATACATTGCTCACCTAGTGTTTCGCAAGTAGCGTATGTTTCTATGTTATACGAAGTATTAATGGAATGATTCTCCCTTTCTAAAATGGAAAGTTAAAGTATTTTTTCTTAAATATAAATACAGAGTAATTTTCATAATAATATGTTATATAGTTCATAAAGTATTTTTAACATTCTATTTATTATTTTAAAATATAATGAAATTAATTCTTGTCATCAAAACCAATTTAATATTGGAGAACAAAAAATGCACTATGCATAATACTAATAATATGTACACGTGTAAAGCGAAACTATATATTTAAGTTACGTTTCAAATAAAATTCAAATATTGGAATTATATTAACTAGTATTTCACCCGTGCAAGTGTAAAATACTAATATTATAAATCAAAATCATTAATTAAAGATTATATTATAATTTATCACTAGAATAAGAGCAACCATTATTCTTTGATACTCTATTTGTTTCCCAAATATGAATAATTATTGTCAGCTTTGTAATATGTATTTGACTATTGTGTAAATTTGATTTGGTTTGATGTGATCCATTCAAACCTATTAAAATATGAGATAGTCTAGTTTGGTCTAACTTAATCTGATATGAGATAAGGATGTTTTTACTTGGACTGTTTTCGATCCCAGACCAGAGTCACCAGACCACACTTAAACATATCAGACCAAACCAGACCAGGCTTAAACAAACTATACCAGACCACTAAATTACAGTCCAAGTAAAAACACCCTAAAAACATCCTAATTCTTCTGATTCATGTGTGTTGTAGGTTTTAAAGGAGAGGACATTTTCTTTGTATGGTCATATAGTTACGTAGAGATAATAGGATGGGCTCAAAGCAACAGGATCTGGCACGCGGAATTTTCGAAATGGGCGTCTACAAAATAAAGCATAACGATAAACAAGGTACCCTTTATGTCAAGTTATCAAAACAAGCGACTCACAAAATTGATCCCACAAGAACCGTATCGGTTCAACAACTACTAGACCAGCAAAGCCCATCATCAAACAGCGGCAGAAAAGATTCATCACTAGCCAACCATACAAAGTACGGCGGCGCCGCAACACAAAAGCGCATAAATACCCTCATATATGGCGTAAATGCCGAAGAGTTTGAATGGCAGGAAGAAGATGAAATATCATGGTCATGGCGGGCTATCGAGAAGCTGAAAATGGGCTTGAAGATTATTCTAGTCGTTATTGTGAGTGTTGGTTTTTTTAGACTCATTGAAATACAAAAAAGCATCAATCAATAATTTAAACAAATCCTCAATTGTTTATATTGCAAGCATATAATTAAGGAAATGAAGTACTCCGTATTATATTACGTTTGTTATAAGCCAACCATCAAAAGCTATCATTCATTCACATGTAGCCACATATATATACAAGGGAAGGGGAGCTAGGGTTACAATCATGATATGGGTCATTGCATATGGGCCTATGATTAATGGACATCTACTTAATTACATAACACTCCCCCTTAGATGTACATTACTAAATAAAAACATTACAAAAATGATTATTCTCTTTGTACGCTTGAAAATGCTGCCTCGTTAAAAACCTTGTCGAGGAAAACCCAGTGGGACAAAACCCTGGTCAAGGGAAAAAGAGTGCAGCGTGTATGTACTCCCCCTATTGACTGCATCACTTGAAGACTTCTTGTAGAATCCAATCTATTCTGGTCACAGACTTCTTGTAGCACAAATTGTATTATGTGTATGCCTCATTAAAAACCTTGTTGGAAAAACCATTTGGGAAAAAACCAATCAAGGAAAAGAGTGCATAACATATATAAAACGATGTGTTGTATTGACTGCCTCATTAAAAACCTTTAACTAAGAAAATCACGTGGGAAAAACTTAGTAAAGGAAAAGAGTGCAGTCATTTGCCTTCAGGGCCTAATCTTCTGGATCACTTTTAAATTCACTTTTCTGGAGAATAATATTCCAAGATCATAATATGTTGTTTGAGAATCACAAACTGCCTCGTTAAAACTTTTGACCAAGAAAACCCTGTGGGAAAAACTTGGTTAAGGAAAAAGAGTACAGTTGCATTTGGTCTTCCGGACCAATAAATTGCTTGAACTCAAAAGAACCGATTAAGACCTTCAAGGTATCATCTTTGGAACTAATATTAGAATCACTCTTCTAGAGGATAATAGTCTTCTGAATGTTATGTATCTTTCTCACTATTTAAAAACCACAAAATACCTCAAAACCTTAGGCCAAGAAAAACCCTTTGGGACAAAAACTTGGCTAAGGAAAAAGAATAGCACATGATCTTCTGGACCAATTAGTTGTTCCACTTCAACAACAACAACTCAATATGTTTAGGTTAAAATATACGATAAGCGGAAACAATTGTCTAAATTCATGATTTTGCAATGTGTATTTCAAGACCATCAAATTTGGTGTTAATGCTCATATGCACATCAAACATTTAATAATTGAGTATTCTCAAATATTTGTTCATAAAAGTTAAATGAGTCACGTTTTGATCCTCCTAGGATCTCAAATTAGTATACAAACACTTCAGGTGTTCACAATATAATGACTAGATATTTTATTTATTATATAATCAAACACCATTCAAATCAAAAGATTTTATGTGTTGTTTCTAGATTTGGCTAGATGCTTAAAAGCCCCCAACACCTTTATTTATACAATTTGGTTCATAGAATAATATATGTTTACTTCAGGTAAACAAATAGAAGGTTTATGAGTAATTGCAAATTCATTGTATAATGATTTCCTCAATCAACTCTTTCTGCAGGAAAAGTTGAGAAGTGGTACGAATACAACTCACTTTAAAATAGTTGAAATTGTAGTCATGAAATCATGTGAAAATTCTTCACATTAGATCCTCTACGGGAGGCACTCACTACAAGTGATATTTTGATATGGTGCAAGGACCTTGTTCAACCGTAATAAATAATATAATTTGCACCATGATCATCAAGCATAGTTCTTCTACAAAATAAATCATGACATCAACACTTTTTATAATCACCCAGGTTGTAGTTAGGCACAAGCGTCCATTTTATATGTTTTTCAGCTATGCTTAGTATTTACTGCATTATTTATTGTTGCAGTTATTCAATCAAATTCAAATTCCTTTTCAAGAATAATTCCAAATATAATTACCATAACTTAACACACAATCACTTTATCTAATTATTATAAAGATAAAAGAATTCATATTCATGTTGCATGTTGTGTGCACATATTTCTTTTCACTATTGTCCTTCAGGGACACAATTGATATTATATTATGACAATGACATCCAATTTTCTCATCAATTGCCACATTCACAGAACTTTAAACTATAACAGGAATGTAGTCTCAAATCATTCAATCTCAAGTATCGCCACCCCACGTACACGATATCTTGATTTATGGGACTTCAAGCCCAATATAAAATATTTTCTCATCCATAAGCATCGATCATAATTCACAAAATTTTAGGACTACAGGTCCATCATATTTCGTCTGGCCAGACTTTATTATTATGAATTATGAATCGAAAGTCTTGGAAAAATAAATCATTGATGTCAATATAATAACTATGATTTTTGTTTGATCAAAATCCTCTTTCTATATGAGCCATAAAAGAGGAATTCATGTTCTGTATCATATAATTTTCTATAATTTATCAGCTGCAGCATTTAACTTATATCATCCTCTTGTAGAGGCATAAGTGACTTACTGTAATAAGATCTGGTTTCATTTTGTATACACATAATGACCGTCAAACCATGTTCCATGCATTGGTTGAGCTCAAACTTTATGATCATTTCTATTAGTCACTTTGGCAGTTTACTTATCATATTTTACACGTTTCTCTTTTAATGTCATTCAATCCTTCTGGGATATTTTCCTGACATTCCAAAATATAATTATGCTTATGCCTTTATATCTCCCCCTAATATCGGGAAATGTGCCATAAGATTTTTGAACAAGGATTTACATACATATGAAGTCACTTCTGGGGTCCGAGTACATCATTTCTGCAGTGGGGTTTCAATGTTGGCATACTTTGGTTCATTTTAACGTGTAAACTTTGGGAGTTAGTTGTTAATAAATGCCGAATTAATATAAACTAGATTTTCTTCATATATTCAAGCAACTCTCTAGCAGTTTATCTCAGGCGTAACATTCATCTTATAATGCTAGATATATTTTGTGGGTTACCTTACACTACAAAAAAATTCGCCTGTAGTCACGGACTTAGTCACGGACCGTAGTGTAAAAAGTCCGTGACTAACACTTTTAGTCACGGACTTCGTCCGTGACTAGTTCAGTGACTAGTTCCGCGTGACTAGAATGTAGTCACGGAACATTGGCCGTGACTAGGTGTAGTCACGGATTAGTCACGGACGTCGATCCGTGACTACATCTTGACCGGAATAAGCCCTCCGGCACGTTAGTCACGGACAGGATCCGTGACTACTTTTAATTTAATTTTTTTTGAGTTAGTCACGGACAGGATCCGTGACTAAGTTTAATTTAAATTTTTTTATTTTTAAAGTAGTCACGGACGTATCCGTGACTATGTTAAATTTAAAAAAATTGAATTTATTCCGGATAAAATGAAAATTGAATTTATTCGTGACCAGATCTGTGACTAATGTTTTTGTTTTTAAAAAAAAAGTCAATTTTAAATAAAAAAATAAAAAAATGAAAATTGAATTTATTCCGGATTAAAAAGTAGTCACGGATTTAGTCCGTGACTAATGTTTTGTGTGACTTGGTAGACTGCTTTTGGAATATTGTTGCCCTGATATTCTAGATCAACAGATAGTTCGGGCCTATCACACCAAATAGTCATATCTTTTCGAGATGCAAGACCGTCTTTAGTTTTACCTTTGAAATCCATCACTGTGTTAAATATATTGTCAAACACGTTCTTCTCAGTGTGCATGACATCTATATTGTGACGAATGAGAAGGTCTTTCCAATATGATAACTCCCGAAAGATACTCCTCTTTGTCCACTTATGGGTATCACAAAACCCATATGGCTTCTTATTTGGTTCTTGCATAACCGTAGGAATACGTCGAACCCGGTTAAAAATTGCTTCCCCGGTCAATCGCGGGGGCGGGGTGTCTTTTACCACTCTACCTCTAATGAAAGACTTTTTGTCCCTTTGATATCGGTGGTTTTCCGGGAGAAACTTGCGGTGACAATCAAAGTAGCTTGTTTTTTTACTGAAAGTTAGCCAATTGGCACCTGATTTCTCCATGCATATCGGACATCCCATAAGACCATGTGTGCTCCATCCCGAAAGCATGCCATAGGCAGGGAAGTCACTAATGGTCCAAATGATGGCAACTTTCATTATGAAATTTTGATCCCTTTAAACATCATATGTTGGTGTCCCAAAGGCCCAAAGTTCTTTCATCTCCTCGATAAGTGGTTGGAGATAAATGTCTATTTTTTTCCCTGGATCATTGGGACATGGACAGATTAGAGTCAAAAAGATAAAGTGACTTTTCATGCACATGTCGGGAGGGAGATTGTAAGGAGTTAACATGACCGGCCAACATGAATAGTTCTTCCCAAACCTTCCAAATGGAGCAAATCCGTCTGAACACAATCCCAGTCGCACATTTCGTGGCTCCATTGCAAACTGAGGATGACAACGGTCAAAGTGTCTCCAAGCTTCACAGTCCGAAGGGTGAGACATCATACCCTGTTTTGTTTCGTGCTCAACATGCCATGTCATGTGTTTCGCAGTAGCAGTCGAAGCGTACATCCTCTGAAGTCGTGGAGCTATTGGGAGGTAATACAGTTTAGACAATGCCGACTTATTTCGTGGTTTCTTTCTACTTTGAGGAACAGGTTTGTATCTGTTTCCACCACAGAACTTGCAGAATTCAAGTGCCTCATCCTTCCAGAACAACATACATCCTTTCGGGCACACATCAATTTCTATATAAGGTAGCCCCAACTTAGACATTAATTGCTTCATGTGATAATATGAATCCGGAAGGTTATGATCACGTGGTAGCATCCCGCCTACTGACTGCAAGACTCTAATCATGCAAGTTTCAGGGAGACTGTATTCAGCTTTTATGTTCATAAACTCTGTAACGGCGGATAACTGAGAGTATCCCTCACAATTAGCATACAAGGGTTGATCAGCTGCTTTTAAAACATCTTGAAATCTTTCAGCTAAACCTTCATCCACATAAGGTTCATAAAATATCGGATTTTCATCCTCATGTGGTTGATACGAGGTCGAAGCTTCAGGAGGATCGTTAGATGGTTGTGGAGGGGGGGGGGGGGGGAGGGTTGAACTGAGACATCGATGCACCGTATGCGTCATATACCATACGTTGCTCCCATCTCATTTCAGCA